CGAAACGTTTCTAGAATTTTTTTTGCTTTGTTTTGCTTTTGTTTTTTTGAATGTCCAGAGGACCAGATTGAACTTTTTTGGATTTTTCTACCTGGATTATTGAGCATGCATCAAGATATACATAAACATGTAGAGGTGCTGAAATGTTAACATTGCCTCCATAGGACATTTAGTTTATTGATGCAAATTAAATTCATATCCACCTAAGGAAAAAAAAAACAATCTGATTTTGTTTTGTCAGTGAAGTGGCACATGACTGATCATTCTTCTCTGTTTGTGCCAGATAGAGGCACGAACATTTGTCTACTTTGATTGCTATATAGCATTTTATAAGAGTGAAACATCGAGTTGTTTTGGAAGCTACACTATTCCTGTTTTTACTCCATACATGTCAAACTAGATATGGTTTACACAGAAAAAAAAAAAATAAAAAAAAAAAATATATATATAATTTTTTTTTTTTTTTTTTTTTTTTTACAGTGTGATTCAAAAGCTTGATTATACTGGTTCACATTAAAGTACAACTATTTTAGTTTTTGTAAGTTCATGGTTGCATGTTACAAGTATTTATTGTACATGCACATTTTTAACATAGCTATTTACATTTTAATACAATAAGTGCGACCTAATAGTATACACACATGGGACAATTCTGGCAGATATATTTGTTGGCAATGGTGGGCTAACAGTCCGCTAACAGCTAACAGCAAAACTTTTTTTTTGCATGTGTGTAGCATTTTCATTAACTTTGGAAACCCCTAAAGGGAATGAGCTTCAGCTAAATTGGGTTTCAACAAATTTAGGTCTTCCAACAAAATTCACAACCTTGTTTCTGTATGTTGTGGGCGTGACAAGATGCAATTGGGCGACACAGTGACGGCAAGCTGGAGGGACATTATTGGTAAACCACAGTAGTCAACGCAGCTTCAACTGGACGTAGACACAGACTGACAGTCGTCTTAGTGGTTAGCGGTTTAGTGTTAGCTTCCACTTTTTTTTTTTTTTTTTTACTGTTTAGCAGTTTGGCGTTAGAAATGCTTGTTTTTTTCACTTAGCAGAATATGGGTTAGCGAAGGCGACTTTTTGGTTAGCTTTGCCCACCACTGTTTGTTGGGGAATGAGAACTTAGTTTAAATGTAAAATGACTGTTAAAGGCTTTATATTTGCTATACATGCATACAGAACATAAGTAATCAAGATTAAACAGGACGCTGTGCACGTGATGAAATAAACACCAGGCACAAACAATTGTTTTCAGCTTCCATTTCATTTTCAAACTCAAACCCATTACCATTTATATAATTAGATTTTAGCATAATATCAGTCTGCTGATCACAAATATTTACAAGGATATGGGAATGACTGAACAAAGGAAAACATGGATTAAATCGAATGAAGAAAATAACTTCTGGTGCACAAAGCGCCATGAGACAGACTCATATTTAAGCTCCACATTAGCTCATTAGCTCAAGTCGTAATAAATGCTTTCCCTCAAACACCGAGAGGCTATCGTTATTCCGTTCAGGCTCTGCAAGAAAATCCCACAGTCACTTAATGGACCATGGGTTCAATAACAAATATTAAGACAATTATAAAACCAATATCTTCCGTTTAGAGAAAACAGGCCAAAGGAAACATAATAAACGTCCAAACTAATTCTGCATTAGGCTTTGATACAGTGACTTACAAATTATGGACAGAGTTTTTTTTTTTTTTTTAAAGCTGTGACTCTCAGTTGGTGTATGTGTGAACATACAGCATGTACATACGTTTACTACTGCCAACCTCCACACACTCACACACGCACTTACTCCTACAGTCAATTTTGAATCATCAGTTAACCTAACATGCGCATACTTTAAGATGTGGGAGGAAGTCAAAATATCCAAAAAAACTGTTGCAGGCAGGATTTATGAGAACAAGCCAACTCTACACCAAAAGGTTCCAGCTGAGTTTCTGACTGCTGACCTGTTTGTAGTGAGTGTCACACTGTCAGTGATATTACTCTTATTGATTTTAGCAGAAGTAACGGGGGTGCATGTCTCAGGTCTTGAATCTTTATTTTTTCCTCACATATTCATTTGCACACTTTTCCCTGAAATCCAAGACATGGCATGTTACACTCAAGGACTAAATAACACTGGTGCAGATTCACTTTTTTATCTAAGCCACACATAAAACAAGGTCACAAAATGTTTTATAAACCTACTTTTAAGCAGCTACATTCTCCAATTCCGCTACACTTATCCACATTACTATACGACCTTCAGAAGTATGGTGGAGTACCAGCTGGAACTCTGTGTGCAACGCAAAGGCGTTTTGCTGACATCTATTTTTTTTTTAATACTTCTGTTTTCAGAGTTTAATGACAACAGTTGAATGAGTGAACTGCTAGTCCAGGTCCTAAATAAATCATCACAACAGAAATACTCCAGGAGCTCTCCCTAGTTGCACTCAACAGAATGCACAGCAGTCACACACATCATTAGATAGTAAAAAACTGCAACAGGTTAGGCTTATTTATCTTCAAATCTAGTTTTACTCTCCTGCTGTTTCTATTCTTCTGAGCAGCACAGTGGGAATGAAACGAAGAGTCAGAATCTCATCCTGGTAGTTTGCCGTTGCCCCAGTGTGCATGTGGTTGGTTGCTTTGCAGATACATTTCTTTTTGACCCGACTCTTTGATGGAAGAGTGTACAATGTTTTTGCAAGATGCAGAGCTTTGATGCCTCAGTTCACTCTGGCTGGACCTGTTGAAACATTGTTTAGAGTGGTCATATTCATATGTTGCCAAACTTCACCTTTTTCTTCTTTTTGCTTTTTGACCTTTTTGCACCAACCCTTTTTGCCACACAAGGTCATGTGTGCAACCCCTACACAGGAAAACACTCACAAACCCTATCTTCCAGCGAGGAGAAGTTTGAGTGGCGGGTTGATGGAATGACGTTTTCTGATTGTGCCGATAATGGAATCCTTGTGTCATTGCAGATAGTGCCTCAGGAAATGGCAGAGAATTGCTTCTGGATCAAAGTCAAAGAAGAGAAGTTTGAGAATCCTGACTTATTTTCCCAGCTCTCCCTCTGCTTCTCCTCACAGAGTAAAGGTAAGGATGTGTCATCTCTCACTAATGCAATCTTAATTAATCTTCACACACAGGGTTCATTTAGCCTCTCTGGCAATAGATTCCAATTTTTATTTTATTTTATTTTTTTTACTTGTGAGATGTTTTTCTCTCTCACTGAAATGTTAATCATCTTAAAACCAAGCATTTATTTCAACACACTTGAACATCTCTATATGCTCTCAGTTCAGATGTCTCTGCCAGACAGGGACAGCTTTTCTTGCTGTATGAGTCTTTGGAGAAGCTAAAAAGATAAATGCCATTTCACTTTATCCTACATTGAGTTGTTATAAATCCTTTTTTTTTTTCTTTAGTGCACAAACTTTAACTTGAACATGTGTGAACCAGTGCAGTTATGCTTCTTTTGATTCTTGCCTTTTCCAGTTCAGTGGACCAACCCTGTATCAGGGTAGATGCAAGGCTTTGGCGATGCAAGCTCGGCTTGAGTTTACTTGTCGCAGCCAGTTTGTTTCTCAGATACACAACCAGGCAATTCGGCTTGTTTATGGATAACAGAAGTAGTGCAGAACATTTTATTTATTTATTTTTATTGTGGAAGAGGGTGTAGGAAGGCATTTGATGTTTCCCCCAATGGCAATTTGATTGTTTTCCTCGTTTTTGACATTGATTGTGCACACCCCTCTAATTCTAGCAGCAGTCAGGGGGAAAGTCAAAGCACTGTCAAGCGCAGAAGAGTAACATGTTTGAAGATAAAGCAGTCTCAAGTAGTCACACAAGCATAAGACAAGATTTGTATGTGTGCAATACGATCCATGAGTGTACCACGAGATTCACAAATTCATAAACAGTTTGTTAAAAATGCACAATTCAGTTTGCACAAGTAGGACAAGTCTGCACATGCAAATTGTCAAATACATGTGCCCGAATCACCTGCTAAAGGTTTCTTCCTCATGAAGGACTTTTTCCTTTCCACTGTCGCCTTCATGCTTGCTCGAGTTGAGAGTTCTGTGATGGAGTTAAACTCAAAGCAGTCTGCTCCTCAGATAAATAATGGTAAACTATTATTTTTATATATGAATGTTTCTGTTCAGTGCCCTGAGATGACTTCTGTTGTGACTTGGCGCTATATAAATAAATTGAATTGAACTGAATTGCTGTGGACGAATTGTTCAACACAAGCTCATGGATCAACTTGCCTGTGAATGTAACTTTTGAGACTTTCTTGCCGCTCCAGATTCACAAAGGTAAATGCTGCGTTCAAAGCTGGTGAAAGGCTGGTACGTCTGAGCCTTACCAGATTTACTGGGTTATTGATAAAAATAAATAAATAAATAAATAAATAATTTATAACTGGGAACAAAAGCTCATTTGCATGCTTGCGGTTCCTGTTGTACACAGTCAAATCTTGTTGTACGCTTGTGTGATTACTTTTGAGTCTGATTTATTGTCATACAATTGGAGCTCTGTCAGTGTGTGGTCATACAAATCCTCCCAGTTTTACCATATACCCAGCATCTATTAAATATGTGGACACCAGTCAGTGTGCCAGCAGTTTCTTGCTATTTTATTTACTTATTTATTTTTGGTTGCAGCCTCCAGGTCCACAACGTGACTCATGTCTTTGTTGTTCAAAATCAACAGCAATGTTCCCAAGGCAGGTGCAAGGTGATTTTCCAGCATATTATTATGGAAAAAGGATGCAGCTTGGAAACAACAGTTATTCCAAAGTATAATGAAGTGGCAGGGATCGTTCCAGCAGTCACTCTCTTTAAGTCTTTCAGTAGTAGACGTAATCCAGACGCCATCATTTTTATATGACGCTTTTTTGTTGCTAATTTTTTGTCATCAGCTTTATTATGCCTTGCTCGTTTGGAGGCGACAAATTGTAATTGTGAAATTAGATATTTATTATAAATGTAATTCATTACTAAATTTTACAGAACTATTAAGATTTCAAACTTGAGTTAAAAGACAGCTTAACGTTTGTAGTTTTGCAACACATGGCTGTAGTTCAGCTTCAAACGCCCTTTTAAATTCTTTATTAACTCCACTTTCTTGCCCACTGGGGGTAAAAAAAAAGAAAAAAGCTCAATAGATAGTCCATGTTCCCGCTGGCTTGGTAGGAATTCATGATCCAGCATTCCCCCTGGGAGTTACCTTTGCTGGATCCCTATCAATTATCCCTGCAGCGACTTGACTGAATCAGCTCTTTTCCCTCTATTGTTGAAACAGAACATGATTTTCTCATGAATGAAAAATGCTGTTTAATGTTTGATACCTACTCCCAACCCCATCAGTGGAGTTGAAAGTCAATGAAAAGAGCTTTGATGTATATGGTATTGCAATTTCAAGAAAGAAAAGAAACCGCGCTAGAATGGATTTACCTAAAATACGGAATTGTTCCTTTGTTTTCCTCTGTTGCATGTTTCATAATTCATGCAGGATCATTGAATGCATTGTTTTGTAGACATAGTGGTCGTTAAGCATTCAACATTTTGTCAACAAAATCCCTGCTGTACATCTGTTTTTGATAAGAACAGTTTGTGGCTTCAAGCTTAAGCTATTTGAGATTTTAGAATAGTTTGTTGGTGGGTGTAGTTGTCTTATGTTATATATATGTATATATGTTTTTTTTTTTAACCGGTATATTAATGTGTTTTTAGCTATTACTTGCTAAGACTGTTTTTTTTTTTTTTTTTTTGTTGCTTGGTAAGCGATTGCTTTTTATTGTCCCCCCATGTTTGCCACAAAATGTGGATATTTATAAGTAAAACACACTTTGGGGCCTAGTGTATTGTGAAAGATGAGGCAAGCAGGTGTAAATGCTTTCCTTACAGAGCTGGCCTCGGAAAAATGGTGCAGAAAAAAGGCTTCTGTTATCTCCACCTTCCTTGGGATTCTTGCTTGTTACAGGCATTGTTGAAGAGCAACACTTTGGCAGTGACAGAAAAAAAAAATCACTTTAACGGCCTCCAATTTTGAGACGCTTATTGCGCTCAAAAGCCTCTAAAACAACTGAGAAAGCAAGACTGTCACATCCCCCGCTGCTTTTATAGGTCTTGCTGTTTAATGAGTTTTACCAAGAAAAGAAATGGAAATCGAGAGGGACTTCAAGCTTGTTTTCAAGTTGTGCGGGACACATATTAATTCATTCATCTGTTCTTTCATTCATTCATTTTTTTGCTCATGTGTTCATTTTTTTAAAATTCTTTGTGAATATTATTAAGTCCAAACTAGCGGCTCTTCTTGGGTTGTCCAGTGATTCTGTTGACTCAAAGAACATAACTGCAAACTTGTCGCTTTTTGTCAAAATTTGCCCAGTGTTTCCCCTATCATTATACAAGCGGGGCACCCCGCCCCATCAACAGAACCGAGCGCCTCATCTACCAAATCCCCGCCTCCACCCAAACCACCTATCGGCATTGATGTAACGCTAAACTAGCGGCTGACAGTGCAGGTGCACTAGCTAAAAACCTAAAGACAGTCTGAACAATGTTGGATTGTATACCTGGACTAATGAGCATGGACTTTGTTGTCTAAAGACAGTCTCTTCCCTCGTGCTGAACCCTACCCCCCCCCCCCCCCCACACACACACACACACACACACACAAACACACTCGAAAACTGTCAGTACAAACAGTGTACATCTCATATGTGTCTCTGTCCCCCTCCTCCCCCACCCAAAAAAAAACCTTTTGGTACAGACAGCGCGTGTCTCTGTCTCTCTCCTCTCCCCACCCCTGCTCTAAAACTGTAAAACTGTTGGTGCAAACAGCACGTGGCTGTGTCTATGTCCTCCCCCCACCCCACAAAACTGTCTGTATAAACAGCACACTGCACAGCTCAGAACTGTCTCCACCCCCCCACCCCACAACAAAAATCATGGACGAGATGAACGTCCCACCACGGCAAATTTTCTAGGGGAAACACTGATACCGATTTCAAACTAAAATATGTCATTTACGTGAATTGTCCAGATCTTCGGGGGGATCCGAGGTGTGGTAAATTGCATCACTTCCCTTTAAGAAACCGCACTCCTCCTCGGTCGCTTGGCTAAGCAGGTGCTCATCTCTTATGGGGTTTTTGTCGAAGGGGAGGAGGGGTTGACACCTCCGTGTTGTGAGTTAGCTTACCGCTGTGTTAGTGATAGAAAAACGGTTTGTAGGCTCAGTGACGTCAGTTGTTGACAGGCATGGGGTTAGGGTGTGTGAGAGAAACGGAGCACGTTGCATCTTAGCTAGCACGTCTGTATTGTGCGTGGAAAGATTTTGCCTTAAGATTTGAAAAGTCCACCTATGGTGTTATAGCGAACATCTTGAAGGTGAAATATCATGTTGGGGAGAAAGAACCCAAGTAACACAAGTTTTCTGGAAAGTAAAATACAAAGTAAGTGTCAGGGAAGGAATAGTGGAAAGGAAAACAACGGGAGAAGGAGATGGATGTTATTCCAAGAGGATTGTGAAGGAAAGAGGAATAAAAGTTATGAATTGTAGACATTGTGGAACCAGGATACGAAGGGACCTGTACATTATTTAGTTTTAATAATTACATGCAGGTTGACAAAAATGACTAGTGTTTTTGTGTGTGTGTGTGTGTGTGTGTGTCACTATTGTAATACACAGTGTAATTTAGTGTTGTGAAGGCTGCATGATGCCATGTCATTTTTTGCTATGAGTAGGTCTATCACTAAATCAGAAAACGGTAAAAAAAAGCCCCCCCCCCCCCCCCCCAACTACACTATTGGTAGTTATTAACATGTCACCTGTCCATTGGGTAAAGTTAATATTCTTATTTTTAAACATGCAGTTCAGTGTCAACATTGCTTAGCACAACAGCATGTTGTGTTACAAATAAAACTAAATAAAAAGTTAACAAAATAAAAGTCAATTTCACCCCTAAAGTCAATGTTTGTGATAAATACTTTCACATTAATATCTTAGCCATAGGATTAAGTTTAAAAACAGTATGATGCATATATGGACTAGTTGAATGAGGTGTTTCTATTATCCTAATGCATGCT